TTCTGGTATTCTTTTGGGTTTTGAGTTCGCGGAACGACCCGTTTCGAAACTGACGCTCGACATCTTTTAGAGTGGGTCTACCGCGAACGGCGTGTGCTTTTGTATGTATTTTGAGCGCCTCAGCAGAACAGCAAGTCGCCATTACTTTCCAATAAGTTTTCAAGATAAAGCACGAGAGGCAGCTAGCAAGATAAGCAAAAGGAAAAAGACCTACAGAACCTTCGAAAAGCAAAGCAAGTCACATGACTTGTGGTAACCCGCCTCGTTTTCATACTTGCAGGGGAACACCGCAGACCGCCGAGCATCGCAGGCTTACACACTTTCGACAACGTCGATAGATAGATAGATAGATAGATAGAAAACCGAAACCTAGACTCGGTCTACCTTGCAGGTAGCCCGAGTAATTACAGCCTGTCCATGCTCAATATCTGTCCATGATCAATATACAACTTGTGAACAAGACTTCTTGCATGTGATGTCAAAGGAGCGTAATTTTGTGGGTACAAAACAAAGTAATTTCTATCCTATGAGAATTGGAAACCCAGTGTTTTCCATCCAAATTGAGCTGCATTCTGATGTGCTGCAAGAGGTCTATTAATGATAACAAACAGTGAACCAGCTAGGCAGCTAGTGGAAAAATATACTTCAACTAAATCAGTGTAAAAATTCAATAGAGTGCTCACACTAAATCCGTGGAACAAATACTAATTTTTAGCACTAAATAGTGAATAACTAAACAATAGAAAACAAAGCTATTTAATGTTCACGGTTTTAGTGTGTGCACTCTAATTGGTAAACAATAAAAAATATATCTTTTACAGTTTATAATTTAATAATAAATACATATAAATACAAGTCATCTATCCGGGGGTGGGATACTCCCCTATTTGCTATATGGGTACGACGTGCCACCAAACAGGGTATGGTTTTCAGCAATTCTACCCTGGAACAGTGTATATAAAATCATGCTTACTCTCTGCTGGAACTGGGTGTATGAAATCATGCTCTCTCTTTCTGGAACAGGGTATCTTTTTTCTCAAGTACAAGCAGAACAGGTTTTTTTATATACAATCTTACTCTGGAAAAGGGTATGAATTTCAGCTATTTCACTATGGAACAGGGCGAGGGTTCAGAAAGCTCATTGCCACATCCCTACCCTAAATGAGCAAGAGTACTCTCCCCCCTGGGTCATCTATATACTTTCCAATGTCTTAGACCACTTGATTGATTCAGTCTATACTTATATCAACTACACGTGTACTACACATGCTTAAAAGTCATCCATGTGGGGAGAGGGGGTAGGGTGTGCTATTGTATTACATGTGCTTACGAGTCATCTATATAGGTAGAGGGGGTAGGGTGTGCTATTGTATTACATGTGCTTATGAGTCATCCATGTAGGTAGAGGGGGTAGGGTGTGCTATAGACCTTATTCATGGTGTGACAATGTTTTCCCAATTCAGCGTGACAAACCTCCCGGGGATTCATTTTCTTTTGTTCTTACTCTTCGAAAAGTTCACGAGTATCCCAAAGGATACGAAAGGAATAACGATGGTATCTCGATGAGTTTCAAAACAATAGCTCTTCATTCTCCCAGAGGTTTGTCACGTTCAATTGGGAAAACATTGTCACACCACGAATAAGGTCTATTGAACAACACATGCTTGTGATCCATCTCCCATGTTCCCAGATGCCTTTGCAAAACAAATAGCTTGCATCCAGTCTTGTTGTTCTTGTTCGGTTTCTGAATGAAAATAGTAGAATCGGCTGCTACTTTTTGGTTTGATACGAAAAGCAAACTGTTTCTTGTCAATATCACATTCTGAGAGTTCACACCCCTCGAGTTGAAGAACTTTCGTCATGTCCTGGTGAAAAATTTGACAACTTGTTACATTGACTAAATATTGCACGAAAACAGGTAAGGGAATTTGTTATGAAGGTTGAAACTTTAAACGAAAAAAGAAAAGGCACGATTCGCGAATCTGTCAAAAAACCAAAGTAAAATCAAAAGCTTGCCTCTGAAGAATTCCCGTAGTATAATTCATTTTTCTTTAAACAGCACCACATCTTATCCCATCTTTTAGAATATTTGCTTCTTTTCATGAGCCATGATTGTCGAACGACAGTTTCACTGCTGTAATCGCTTGCTTTACTTTCTTTTTCGGTGAGTTCGGAGCCAGTATCCGCCATTTTTGTTTATCTACTAGTATTGATGACCACAATGCACCATGGATATTTGGCCTTTAATCCTGGGAGGGAGGGGGAGGGGGCTACTGATGTCGCAGGGGGATTACGTAAACAATGTCATGGAGTTTTCTAGCTTTTATATTTTGTTTTTGCCTAAGACGAAGAAACGAAGGCAACATATTCTCCCTAACAAACTACAGGAAAAAGCTGAACATGCATTTTATTCTTACAGGCAAAAAAAAACAAACAAACAAAAAACAACAACAACAACAACAACAACAACAAAAGACATCAATTTATTTCATTCACATTTATTATGACTATAAAAAACCTTCTTTATATAAAAATGTTCAACAATCTACAACTGTTATAATTACATGTAACAAAATTTATCCCAAGATGAATGAATTCTGGAAGTCTTTTCCATGTCGCATGTTATGTAATATGCGATTTCTAGATGTAAGGTGAAAATCTTCTTGTTGTGATAAGTGTAATGGCTCTCCTAAAAATAAAAAATTAAAAAACTTAGTTGATGATTTTTTTACACTTAATTTAGAAATAGTCACAACTGGTGTTGAGTTGAGGGGAGGGGGTTTTAAAAATGTTTCTTATTATACCAGTTAAAATGTCAAATTTTCTTCTCATTGGTGGTTTCATCTGAGAACCTGGCCCTCTTTCCATCCCTAGCTTGTCATGTATTGTGGAATAAGTTGTATTAAAAGTCATCTGAAAAATAATAAAACAAGAAAAAAAAAATCAAATGGAAGGAAATGAAAAAGAGAAATAATGATAGTTTACCTGTAATATATATTGCTTTTTCAGCGATTAAGTTTGTTATTCAATCAATCGCTCAATATATCCTTCACACAAAAGTTAAAATTTAATTGATTAACAATATATAAAAAAAAGAAGAAGTTTGATTGTGCTGGGGTGCCCAAAACAGTATAAACTAATCAAAGTCAGGCATCCCAGTTACATGCAAAATTTACCTCTGAACATTTATTTTGTCTGGTTGACTCCACCATATCTTTACCAGACATCTGGTTATTCCATCGTTGGTTGTGCTCATGTAATTGATTAGTCTGATATTGAGAAATTACATAAATACAACCAGAAAGCCTGCAAAATGGCCCTCTAGTGACCTCCTTCCTAATCCCTGAAACCCCATGCTGGCCATTGAGAGCCACTGTGCAGATAAAATCAGACAGAGATAAGGTATTGATAATATCCGTGATGACATGAATTATTTCAAACCCAAGGTAAATAAGTGGTTTTGGAGACTATCATTCCAGCTTCCAGCTCTCTTTGATTTTCATAGACTGGTCTGTGGTCAGAAGATCTCTGGGACTATGTGAGGTGGTTTGTGGGTTCCTAATGCAGTGGGAAGGGGGGGGGGGGGGGGGAGGGGAACTGGTTAAATGCACTTACTGGCACTATGTTGTGATGAACATAAGTCTTTTTGACATGCGTATCTAACATATGGTCACTGGCAATTCCAATATTGAATTGTGATGTGTGCTGAGAAGGAAATGCTGAAGGCCTTTTGCTGGGCTGCAAATTTTTACTTCCAGAAAAACTCTACAAAATAATCAAAACCTGCAGTAAGATATAAAATAAGCAGCATTTAAATGCAAAATTTAGCACTTTTTGTGTGTGTTTGCATTTTAAGCACGATTTTGAATACGAAATAAGCTTATATCATTATCATAGATTAAGCTAATTTATTAAAGTTTTGATTCACTGAAGGTAGCATTTACTCAGACCTACTGATCTCTTGAAGTGTAAACAAAATTTTCTAAAGAAAAAAATTTGTTTCTATTGAGATGATTGGAAGTTATTTCGATAGTAGCTACTGTTCGTGATCAAGATTGAACCAAGTTATTAGTCTGAGGGTTTGTTAAACAAGATCTTTTGTGTAGCATAGCGATGTTCTTGTATTGTTTACTTCTCTTCTTAGAATTCTCGTGTGAAACTAAACATACCTAACAGACGAATTCAAGAGATTAATTAATTCGCTTACCGACTTCATGCAGCTTTCGTAAGACGTTTTCAGAGGAGAAATTTCTAGACATAAAGTTGATTTATTCAAAGGTCGCACGCCTTTGCGATGTGCTTCTGTTCGCGGTCCTGCACAACGAGTTTCGTACGGCTCGTCTGTTACGATCGTGATAAAACTAGACCGATTGGTTAAGACTGTAGATGTCTTAGATCCTTGTTTGAGGCTAACTCCTTTCTTAAAAGAGCAAGACATGTTTTTCTTATGGATTCAAGCCATTTCAACGCTGACTTTGAAATGAAAGCTAGTGACTTTGAGCTTCGTTGTTGGCATGGAAACAACACAGATAGACCGGAAGTCGCACTGGTGTTTATTGCTTCCACTTCCTTTTACGAGATGGTAGAAAAGGGACAAAATTTAAAGGAAAATATAATTTAAAATCCCTACTACGGCATAAAAAATCTAAAAGTTTGTATCAAGTAACGGAATTTTTCTTTCCTCGCTTTCCCTATATTAAATTATAAATTATTCAAAATTTTCTGGGTTACCAAGATTACGTTTTCCCAGATCGATTGTTCTGGAAGTATTCTTTTCTAACTATTTTTAACTTTGTTAGTGATCTCTTTTAGTTGATTATATATATTTTTAAAATTTATTAATAGCTAAACCAATCCAGCCGCTTTGCATATATAATTAATTACAGTAAGGCACTGCAGTATCATAATCAGCGGTCTTTCCCCTACAGGAGTTCTTTCGAATCGGGTCACGACAGACTAAAGCTGTTTCTTCTTTTATTCCTTCATCCAGAATCCTGCAGTCTAAACCTCCATTCCTGCCTTCACATGACGGAGAAGTCCAGAACTGTCAACAGATGGTATGCAGCATTTACTAAGGGCACTGATTTCGACTCGTGGGGACAACTCGTCGAAGCTGCCGAAGCATACTCGAGGTAACACCTAAAAATGAGCTTACAAATTAATACTCCAAAACAAACAATGAAGCCCTGAGGATTTTTGGAATATTTCCCTGAAGTGAGCTAAAGAATTTTTTTCACTTCCACTTATCCTACTTCTTCTTCATCAATGGCACTAGAGTATTGTTAATGAAAATAAGCGGTATTTGCTATCCATCGAAAAATGTCAACTGTAAAGATATTCTGTTTCGTTTCTGAACTTGTGCCTGAAGCGATCTGAAGCATAGCATTCATAATGACTAAAACGGCGACCTCAAAGACCTTATTTTCTTTCATAATTAACATTCCGTGAATACGATTCAAAAAAATTATATCAAAATATGTGGGTGATAAAGCTAGCTGTACGCTATATTTTAATTCATTAATTACCAATGTAGGAGATTGCCATTTAACCTTTTTAAAAGGATAAGCTTAACTTTTTTAAACAAATCTTAAGAAAAATCAGATAAGGCTCAGCAATTAATGTATCTAGATTCAAGGTTTCATTCTTATGTAAAAACTCATTATCTCCCAAAATTAACAATTTTAAGCTGCAGTTACACAAATTGTCTTGATTTTCTGTCAGAAAAATCTTTAGTACAAAATCTTTGAGTAAAAGATTTTAATTGATTTTAAATTTTTAGAAGGTTTCAGTGATTTATTGCTAAAATTTCATTGAAGACTAATATCAGTCCAAGCTCGTTTTAAGTCTGATGGACTATTAAGGTTAAGGATGACATGTTTCCTGTGTCAGCTGTCACACTGGATAGTCTTTCCCAAATAAAGTTGATGAAAAATTTATTAGTTGAGTGATGTAAACTGGGTTTCAGAATGGTTGTTGAACATTATTATTATTGCTTTTGTAAACCATAATGAATTTTCAAAGTTATTACAGAATATGGCTTTTGGAATTCCCGAAGGGCAGAGAGGTCATAGGAAGAACAAAATTGCAGTTTGTATGGAATAAAATTTGAATTTCTTGGGGTAGGGGGAAGGGGTGTCTTTAAAAAAATTCCTCTGGGGGAAGGGGGTCTCTAAAAATTCCTCCTCAGGGGGGGATGGATAATTTCTGGAACTACACATAAGAAATATACAAACCACACACACTAATTACAGCTACTGTACATAACATAAATTTAATAAATTATGTGTTAGTTGAGTGATTTAGAGTGGGTTTGATAATGGAATGGTTGTTGTACATTATTATCACCTTTCTGAAACAATGATTTTCAAAGTTGCTAAAGAATATACCTTTCATATATTAAAAAATATACAGTACTATATATGTATTTATGTGTGTGTGTAAAAAATATGATATGCATTGTGTAATGTTCCAGAAAACATTCATACCTCCACCACAGAAGGAATTTGTTAAAGGACCCCACTATCCCCAGGAATTTCCAATTTTCTTCCATACAAACTCTGTAGTTTTGTTCTTTCTCTGACCCCCCTCCTCTCCAGAATTTCCAATTTTCTCCATGGGTGGGATATGGATATTTTCCGGAACTACATGTTATCCATTTACAGATTTGCACATATTATAATAGAGGCTTTGCATCATCTTATAATGGTAGCCATGACAGGAGAGAGGAACAATACTTTTCCCTAGGAAACTGATTTCTTGCTCATGTAAATCAGATCAGACCAGATTCATTTGTTCCTGCCTCCTGTCATGGCTACCATCACATGATGGTGCAAAGCCGCTATACCTATACACACCTCAATTTTTAATTTACATACAGTATATAGATACTAATTACATATAGATATTTAAGCATTAATTAAATTTGTCAGGAATGACTAAATAATATCGAAAATAGCAGATACAATATGTACATGTATTGGGTCTCTAAATATAGCTTTATATAATATGTATTAAAATGAAAAATTTGGTGGCTTTTTTTGTTCTTAGAGAGTTCTTTAATTCTATATATATGCCATTCTTCATAATTTCAGTCTTGCCAAAGAACTCAACAAGGGTACTAGTATAGAAAATCAGATGTTCCAACATGAGCAAAAGGTATTATATTTTAATATCTGTTGTGCCTGGTCAGCACAGTGTATCTATTGAGCTGTTAGAATCCCACAAAAAAGTAGTGCATAAGAGATGAGCCCAATACAGGCCGAAATAGCTGTCCACAGTTTCTAGTTGAGCTGGCTCATTTTTTACACGACTTGAAGTTGTGAAAGCCCATTGGCCCTCTTCTTCAGTCTTGCGTTTCATACAAGGCTCGTAATTTATCTATTATGCATATTCTTAAATAATATGTAGATGATACTCTGACAAAGAATCTTATTTTTGAGGGAATACATGCATGATTTAAAATCTAAATTGTAAGAAAACGTTACACCTAATTTTCAAGGTGGAGGGTGAGAGGGTAAAAGTGCTTGCCTCTCACAAATGCGACTTGGGTTCAAGTCCCTCATGCTCGGTGTTCTATGTGACCAACTTCTAAATTCCAATTCGATCTTGGGCTTTCACCTAGCATGGTTCTGAGGGTTCCGTTCGTGATTGTCCCACTCTGTGATTACAGAAAAAAACTGATAGATTTTTTATTGATACTAACATATCCTAAAGTCCAACTACATGTACATGCTGTGATTTGTCGGTCTGTGATTTGTCATATCTGGAGCAAATGTGCAATCATGTAATTTAGTGTCTGATTCAAGCATGATTTGAATGCTCATGCTAGTCTGTAAAAAAATCAAGTGGTTATGAGAAAATCTGTGACAGTGCTACAGAATTTGTAAATCAGGTCAATTCAGTTTTTAAAATTAGGCTTGAATTGGGTTTTAAACTACACACGCAATTTGTTTCATGATTGTGTGGGGCTAATGAATTGGGCCTACAAATTGCAGCATGTAAATTCCTGCTTGACCAAAATTGCATGGATTGGGTGTCTTGAGTTTTTATGGGAGGGCATAGATCCCTTGCAGCACCTCCCTAAATGGGGGTCATCAGAGACAATAACTTGTATTCATTTCCATAGGCTTACATTCTTTTGCTGTAGATTGATTTCATATACAAGGAGTCCACGGCATATTTAGACTAAGCTTAAACCTCACCTTATTATTCATTGTTTTCAATGTGCACAGCCAATGCCCACATTTGACCTTAGTCTCATGATCAGTCATGATTTGGTTTTCTTCCATGAAACATAAAAATTAAATTATTAATTATATTAAATTGACTCTCTTCAAGTGATATATTGTAATTGACTTATTAACATCCTCATTTGTTTTAGAAACTAATGATGAAGATAGCAATATGTCTGGATATGAGAAGTAAAACACTCTTGTCTACACAGGTAAATTCAAGTATGAAACACTTACATGAATTATCCATACATCCCACTGATATATACGTGGAAGCAAGGGTGGCATACAGCCATGAGAGTGCTCACCTCTCGATGTAATATGTGAGTAGCTCAGGGGGGACTCTCTTGAAAAGTGGGTAGGGGGGCTCAACAGACTTTTTTGGGGTTGAAAATGAGACCGCGTGTACCTTTTAGGGTCTCTGGCTGATTCCTGGCTGACTCTGTACCTTTTAGGGTCAGATTTGTTCGTTTTGAAAAAAACAAATGTCATACAAGAATATAATGGTTGGAAATGTTGTCATTTTAAATGTGGTGGTACCTTTTAGGGTCTGAAATCAGCACCTCAGTTAATTTATGCATACCTTTTAGGGTCATTTTCAAAACCGTTCATCGAGCCCCCTACCCACTTTTCAAGAGATCCCCCCCGGGGTGAGTAGAGTCTTTAGTTGGTTCTCTCTTGTGCTTAAAGGGCTTTTCTCTAGGTTGTTCAGTTTTCCTCCCTCCTCTTTAAAGAGGCATGCATATTTTTATGTGGAACTGCATGTTGTACTTTATACAAGAAATGCAATGAATTAATTTTTTTAAGAAACTATTTCTTTTATAGGAATTTGCTGAAGTTCATATTTCTTATGAAGACATCAAGAAAGTTGGAGAAGGTACATAAAGCAATGTACATACATTGTACATTTTCTATTTATGTTCAAACAAATTTCAAAACATTTTGATGTAATATAGATTTTTCTGGTTTCAGAAAACCCACTTTTTACAATAACTGGTATAATAATAAATTTCGCTATCACATTGTCAAAGTAGTATGCAGATCCACTTGGCTATGCCTCATGGTTCCACACTACTTTGACAATGTGATGACACAATTTATCGTCAATAAGAGTACAGACACATAAGAAGTCAATTTGTTAAATTGAGGCATGATGGTGTAAACTACCATGTGGAGGGAAGGAATTAAAATTGATTATTCCTAAAAGTAAGATGATTTCTTTATGGAACTTTCCTTGCAGCAGGGAAGGCATCTATCATCAATACCACTCATTTTTAGTGACAGTCACAGAGTTAAAATTTTCTGAATGCTATAAAACCAGCTAACGAAGACCATGCTAAAAGAAAAGCTCTTTACTTTTAATTTCTAGTTCTAAGAAATCTAATGCTAGGATGGAATGAACCTTTTCCTGTTAGAGTTGAAGTACCGTCAATAATGTAAGTATCTGCCTACTGATCCTTTCTCATGGAAGATGTTTGTAACAAATATTCCTGTAGTGGCTTTACAATTTTGTTCTAAATGTATGTACAATAAATATAAAGAAGCCTTTTCTTATATTTTGTTTATTGTTTCCATTTTTAGTGGTAATGATGGTGAATCAATATTCAATACCACGGAATTTGTTTTAGCTGGTAAATATGATGTTTTCTATATCTTACAAGTATGTTTCTAGCTGTAACCTGAGTTAGTGGTAATATTGTTACGGCACGTAATTATAAAAAAGCAAAAACCTTTTATTTTACAACCACCACTCCCTGTCCATGGCTTTTTCCTGATGTATGTATTTATGATGTGCAACACTCAATTCACATGTTGATTTTTACGGAGGGAGAAAACTGGAGAATCTGGAGAAAACCCTCTTGGCAAGGGAGATAACAACTCACATATGAACCAGTCTGAGCTGGGGCTCGAACAGAATGCCATCCATGTCACCCATAAATAAGTAAATTATAGTTGCTGTTATTGTACATTTATAATTAATACGATGCCAGGGTCAAAAGAAAAAGTAGGTGGGGTCATCTATAGCTTTGGTCCAGCCAGGGATCGAACCTTTGTCCTCCTGCATAACAGTTCATTGCTCAACCAACTGAGCAAACCTGGTGTTAGCCTCCTACACTAATATTCTAAGTGTGATGATCCTAATGACATCTGCTTAGGAGAAGTCGTTGGTATTGTGAAATATCTAAGTCATCTATTTGTTATCCTAAGGTGAAAGTGGTACCCTTCTACCAAGAATCCCTTATGAAACAGGATATCATAGACTTACTGTACGAATAGATAAAATAGGACTCAAAGATGCAGCATCATACATCAATACTTATTTCAGTATCCACGTCAGAGGTAAAGTATTTCTGCAGTCTAGTTTGAATTTTAAGTAATTTTCATTCTTATGGAGCACGAATTAATACCAATATTTGCTTGCTTGGGGCTTAGGAAGATTTAGCTAAATTTTTGAAAATGTGTGATTAAGTGTACTATGTTCTTAATAGTCCAGTTCACAACTCCCTGTGCCATCTTTAAAGATAACCATGCTTGTGCACTGAAGCGAGAATGGCAGTGACCTCGCAATGATGGATACCTTTTCTAAAGACCTTGGACAATAGGCCACTTGCATTATAGCTTCATTTACTATCACTATCAGAATCCCTTGCACACTTCCTATTGTTCAGTTAATTAGCACCTTACTGTTCTCATGAGGAAATTCGAATTTGTTTAAGAAAGAGAATCTGCAAAACATTTTGGTAGTGGAAGAAAAATGGCGCTATCATACAAACGGCCTATTATTCACGTGTCTATCATTGCAAGGTCACCTCCATTCTCGCTTCAACGCACAGGCATGGTTACCCTTCAAGATAGCGCAGGGAACACCATTAAGATGATATTCCCTCAAATAAAGAAGACCCCCTCGATCGGAGAGGGGAAAAACGTTTCAATATTCTCCTATTCTTATTTTCCCGGCCATTTCTCCCTCCTCTCTTTTCGTCTTTTCTGGCTCTCTCTCCTAGTTGTTATATATCATCTTTATTCCTCTCCCCCTCTTTTTTTAGCAGTTTCGTTCCCCCTACACCCTCATCCGTTCCCCTCTACACCCCCCCTAAGGTAGAGATTTCTCAATCTTCCAGACAGCGACTCTGTTAGTGTCACAGCATCACAAGACACTCCAGTCTCCAATCGAAAAGATGGGAACTACGTTCTCTTTGGTGTAGACGTAGAATTGCAAAGACATATTGAAAGATTACCGAAAGGTAATGATTAGTCAATGTTTTTGTTTGGATCAGATTTTTGAATTCTGACTGATTTTCTAGATAATTTGTTAAGCTTGTGTGACATAGCAACGGTAACTAAGGGGAGTCTTAACCATGAATATCCAATAAATCCAATGAATGAATCTAATGAATCCATAAATATCCAGTGTAGTGGTAGCGTGTGTGAGTAAAAAGTGGGCCAAACGAGAAACCTGTATCCACGGAATTTGGTCACGCAATATATAAGATCTTGTCACAATATGTCCTTCAACTCTTTTCTCCTCTCCCAGCCTTCAACAGCCTAGGCGTTTGTTAGTAACAGTAAGTAAGTAAGTAACTATGACAAATTAATGCAAGTTTATCCATTTTACAGGTACTGCGATATTTTTCGAACTAAAGCATTATAAACCCAAGAAAAATATTATAAGCACAAAGTGTTTCGCATTTATGGAACAAGACGAAATACGAAATGGTCCAGCGTGTATAGAACTGTAAGTATCAGATTACAATGCATTGTAATCACCCAATCTTGGGGGTTAATTTTCATCTTTGATCCTCAGAGAAACTCGAAAGTCAAGGCTACCTTATCTCCCTAGCTCAACTAACGAGTAGTAATAAGTTACACAATCCCAGGGAACTAAATAAATAAATAAATTTATTTGAGTGTCAATGTATTTAGTTTATACAACTAATTGGGGACACTGAAATGAAGAAATGATCAAGGCAACTGGCAAGGAGGCAAACCAGTTGGCTATTAACAAGCATGGTCGAGAAACTGAATTTGAACTAATCAGAAACCAGGACAAATACAGTCTCCGCTAGTGGCCACAGCGGGAGTCGAACTCGGCATCACCGGACCGACGCTATGACCACTCGACCATGTTGCCTCCTACGTAGTTACGTAAACGTTTAACTTTTTCTTTCCATTTTCTTTCTATTATTTTCAGTTATCAAAAGCCAACGGACTTTCGTCGAAAGAAATTAAATCTCCTAACTTCCAAACCTTTATATCTTCATTTGACTCTAACAATTCACGACGAATAGAAGATAAATTTTCATGTGAACTGGTTTGTACATTCGACAGCAGCCATGCTGACGTTGTTTTCTTGATGGGGCTGCAGGAATTGGAAGTTCCAAATGAAGATTCCAAGTAAAATCACTGTATTTTAAAGACACAAAAAGTATAAAATGCTTGACTTTAAAAGAAATTTTATATTGCGGACTTGTGGAAAATCGTCGACGAAAGTGGAGAACAAAACAAAGCTATCGGAGTGAGAAGAACATCCCCTTCCAAGACGATTGGACGCCAAGAAGTCCTTCGGTGGATATTATTGCATGTTTATTGCCTAAAACATTTTGAAAAAACCTAGAACCAACAATCTTAAAGGCTGCTTTTTAATAATCAAAGACAGAACAGTCTATCAATTTATATTAGAAATTTAGAAGAATCCCCTCGTTTTTATTATGGTTTTAGTCATGTTTTAACTTAATTATAATTAAGAGTACACGCCTTATTATCGGTGAAACAATTGCTTGAGCTATTCATAAAAAATTGTATAATAAGACAATACGTCTCTGAGGAAGTTACTCTAAAAATTGGTCAAAGATAATTTTAACTATACAATATGCATATATATATATATATATATATATAAGATAGAAAAAATTGCCGGCAGAACTTTCTTATTCTTGCAAATCTTAGAGGAATGAGAGGCGATGTCAGTATTTTAACGGAGAAATTGATTTTAACGGGAAAATTGTAATTGTTAGATTATCATATCATAGGCGTTTTGTGCTATTTTGTGCACTATTTTTGGAGACACTAGAGAAAAACCCGAGTAACATGAAATGTTAACCAGGTAAGGTAGCACCTTCGTGAGTCTTGTGGGAAATAGAGCAAATTCGTATTGCTGTTCTCGGTAAGTATTATCGTGCTGTGACCGTGACGGTGCGAGTATTTTGGTGAATTTCCACTCTGTGAATATTGGTTCGTGAAATCTTTTCTAAATAGCAAGAAAGTAGCTTGTGTATGAAAGCAACTATTTCACTCACTAAGGCAGCTGTTACACTTTTGCATCTGAACCTAAAACTAACTTAAATTTATAGTTTCAATTATATATAACAAGAATTTATTAAAAAATAATATCACATGAAGTGTTTGTTCAGTAGATCGAACTACCAAAAAACATTACTTTTAGAAGACGGTATCCAGTCTGATTCAGGTCTATTCTCCTTTGTCATTCCCATTCATTCTGTCCTATACGATATCCAATCTAATTCAGGCCTATTCTCCTTCGTCATTCCCATTCATTATGTACTATACGGTATATCTGATTCAGGCCTATTCTCCTTTGTCATTCCCATTCATTCTGTCCTATACGGTATATCTAATTCGGGTCTATTCTCCTTTGTCATTCCCATTCATTCTGTCCTATACGGTATATCTGATTCAGGTCTATTCTCCTTTGTCATTCCCATTCATTCTGTCCTATACGGTATATCTGATTCAGGTCTATTCTTCTTTGTCATTCCCATTCATTATGTCCTATACGGTATATCTGATTCAGGTCTATTCTCCTTTGTCATTCCCATTCATTATGTCCTATACGGTATCCAAACTGATTCAGGTCTATTCTCCTTCGTCATTCCCATTCATTATGTCCTATTCAGTATTCAATCTGATTCAGATCTATTCTCCTTTGTCATTCCCATTCATTCTGTCCTATACGGTATCCAATCTGGTTAGTCGATTCAGGTCTATTCTCCTTACTGTCAACTCCTATTTGATCTGTCTTACACATGAATTCTAGATTTTTGATTGCTTTTTTTCCTTTTTATATTTTAAATTTATAATTTTAATTTAAGATTTTTAAACTCAAATGCCACTGCCAAAGGTAATTCTCGACCACGCCCTTTAACCCCCTTTTCCCTGATCTAAATAAAGCGAAAAAAATATATTATTGATCTTTTTTACAAAATTATACTTGGCCTTATCTTTTTTTATCAAGCCATATATCAAAGTGGAAATTAGAACTCATTAACTGTGACGTCATTTCTCAATTAACTGGTTAAAAAAATACATTCTAAGGGAGGGGAGGTACGAATTACTTTCCACGCGCTAAGTCATTGAAATTAGATCAGAAATAATTATTTCGTCACGGGACAGCCACTTTGGAAGCCTTCTCTCTCAATAGGACAGATTTTCTCGCTTTAATAAGTAGTATTACCCACAGCATTCCAGGAGAAAGGTCTGTGTTTCTATGACTTCTCGTTCACCAGTCACCCCTTGCGAGTTTTCCCCAAAGGACACGTCACCTACGTAACAATACAATTACGCATGCGTGGAATTTCATTAATCCAGTATGCAAGATGGTGGCAAGATCGAACTTAGCGTGTTTTGCGCTATTTTTCTTGTCCACCGTCTTAATAACACATTCAATGTCCGAGGCTAGGTTATGTAGGGATCCCCTATGTAATGGTGAGTAGCTGTGGTTCGTTTTTTCAGTACTTTTTCGTGTTGTTATTTTATTTTTCTTGCCCCGGTGTCGCAGACTAGTGACACTGGATCTGAAAAGTCCACGTCTGATGAATATTTTGAACCATCCTAGACTAACTAACTCTAAGTTTTTAACCTTTAAATTTACAAAAATGAAATTAAAATAAACTGGTTTAATGACTTTGAGAGTCTTGAGTAGAGTTAAATCCGACAATTTTTTAAATAAGTTTTTTAAAATTAGGCTTCCTTATAAACTTACCAGGCCACAAACTACTATGAATAACAAAACTCATTATTTTGAGACGTAAGGTTCTTTAATGACAAATTCATCTATATAGTATCCTAAAAAATTAGTTCTATTTCTGACAACTGATAAACTTACAATATTTCAGAAATTAAAGCTACTAGGTCTTAAGGGTGTGTTGAATGAACTGTTTATATTTTATAAATACAAACACATTTTTTTACTTTCATAGTTTAAACTTTTACATATAAGCTGATAATTCTTTTCCTTTTTTTCTTTATTTCAATCTTATCTAAGGTTTTTTTATTATATAATCCTTTTATTTTGATACATATAAAACTTAGTCCCTAGTGGGTCAAATTTGTTCATATTTAAGTCTTATAAAGTGTACAAATGTAGTCCCAGATATATAGTGGAGTGTCTAAGTAAGGTTTCCCATTTTGATATCAGTATCTACTTTACGCAAACATTACACAACTGAAATTTTTTTGGGTCATAAAGTTATATATGGAAATCTGGAAGTGGACATTTTGCAATAGCGAAGCTTTGGCAATTCTGAAAAGACAGTCATTCAATTTGTTCTTTTTTTTACTATGAGGCCCCATATATGAAAGAAATATCCAAGGGTTTTCTATATAATAGGTTTTTTTTCCAAATATATTTGAGTTAAATTAGACATAACTTTTTTTTGTTTTTATTTTCTTTCAGAGCCAATATCTGTAGGTAAAGTTATAACAAATTTTGAGGGCACTGGAGAAAATGGACTCTTGCAACTTAAAGAAGGACAAAAAGTCTATATTTATGCAAAAGAACCTGATAAAACACCAGAACTCTGGTTTGGAGAGGTAAGTTGAGGAAGGTTTATTATTGATATGTGTATAGAGGAGTTAAGGGACGAGAGGGAGTGCTTTGCAATGCCATCTACTTTGTGTAATTTTGATGCTATATCAAATAAAAAATATTTTTGTATTTTTTTCACAGTCTGATGGAAAAGGAGGTTACTTTCCCAAAGAACATGTTGAAGAATTAGTAGTATATGAATCCAATCCTACTTATGTAGTATCTAAGGAAATATTAGAAGTAAGCAATTTATTTTTTTAATATATGTGTTCTCCATAAAAGCAGCTCTTATTCTTTAGAATAGATTTTTAATACATTGATCATAACTTTTCATTCATTTACTGGTAGATGGCAACATTCATTAGCTATTGTTTGTTCATTTAATAATTTTATTCTTCATTCATTTATTCATTTATTCATTCATTTATTCATTCATTCTTTCATTCATTCCTCCATCCATCTATGCCTTTATCAGTTCATTTATCCATCCATCCATCTATCCATTCATTCATTTATTCATTCATACTAAAGTTCATTTATCAATATATCCATTCATTTATTCAATCATTTATTCCTCCATCTATCCAACCATCTATTCATTCATGTCTTTATTCATTCATTCATTCATGTGCATTTTAATTCATCCATCTATGTATTCATTCACTCATCCTTCCATTCATCCATTCTTTCATTCATTCATTTACTCATTAATTTTTCATTCATTCATTTAATCATCTATTTGCTTTTTCAAATTTTCTTCTATTTAGTCTTTCATTTGCTCTTTCATTAATCCATTCATTTATTTGAGAAGTCATCAATTAATTCATCAATCCATTTATATATTCATCCATTTATATAACAATATTTCCTTATACAGTATAGTATTCCTTAGCTTTTGAATAATCTTTCAGAAATTCAAGTTCACACTTGTATTCTTTTTATTATTTCTCAGAATTCAGAAGAGCCTGGAGGAACAACTAAGAAAGACAACAATCCTAGTGATCCTAAAACAACCGAAGATGCTTCTGTAACTACTAATGAAGACCTAAATCAAGACAACTCAGAAAAATCAGGTGAGAGTGACAAATCAAAGGGAACAGAAGGAACTATGTCTGGTATTATTGGAACTATTTCAGACTTCTTTACCATACCTCCTGGGGAAGAGGCTGATGAAAGTACTCTATCTAGTGAACAGAGTACTGAAAGCGATAAAGAAACAAACAATAATGAAGGAGATAAACAAAACCCCTCTGAGCGAAAAAAAGCTCCAGAGGTACTGGTTGATAATTTAGATAATATAGAATCTGGGGTTAATAATGAAAAAAATGAAAAAAAGGTTGAAAGTGTAGGAAATATTTTGGAAGAAAAGGATGAAAAGAAAACTGAAACTGATAAAAGTGATGAACAGTCTCTGATGGGTGTTCAGAATAGTGAAGATGATAGTAGACATAGTGAAAGTACAGAACAGAAACAGGAAGAACAAGTTAAGAAAGAAGAGAAAACCTTTGATGAGGCAAGTAGTATTTCAAAAGAAGAACAGAAAAACCAGACTGATAGTGATGGAAGTAGCAAGCAAGAAGTGAAAAATGAAGAGCAAGTTGGTACTAATGTTAATCACGAGGTTCAAGCTCTGGAGGAAAACCAGGAGGTTAAAAAACTTGTACAGGAAAATGAAGGTGCACAAGCTATGAGAGAGGCTGCAAATGATCCACAGCAAAACCATGGAGAAAATGACAGGGAGCAAAAGCAGGAGGTTAAAAAACTGGTACAGGAAAATGAAGGTGCACAAGTTATGATAGAGGCTGCAAATGATCCACAGCAAAACCATGGCGAAAATGACAGGGAGCAAAACCAGGAGGTTAAAAAACTGGTACAGGAAAATGAAGGTGCACAAGTTATGATAGAGGCTGCAAATGAGCCACAGCAAAACCATGGAGAAAATGACAGAGTGGTCAACAAAGATGAAAGAAATGAAGACCAATTAACCAATCCTGAAAATCAAGAAAAAAGAATGAGAGAAGAAAGCAAAGAAGACGAAAATAATAGAAATTCGGAACAAGAAATCAAGGAAGAGAAAGAATTAGAAAATCAAAGAGAAGGAGAGTCTACAAATCAAGAATCAGAAAACAAAGACAACAGCAATAATCGAGGAACAGAAATTCCAAAGCAGAATGGTGTCAACCCTAATGACCAGGAAGAGAGAAAAGACAATCCAGGAAGTCCAAGCCAAGCAAGTAAGGATTCAAAAGGTCAAGGTATATATTGAACTAATTATCTTTGTCCAGGATGCATGCGTCAAGTAGAAATTGATCTACTCAACTAATTGATTCCATCCTATTGAATTATAATATGAATAATTGCACTGTAATAATAATAATAATAATAATGATAATACAATATTTTTTCTTAAGATGAGAAAAAGTTGTATTATAATCTTACAAGCTATGACATTGTGTTACAATATCTCTGATATAAAATTTGATTAGATAAAACATTTTAAAAATATTTGCATGTTAAACAGTTAAAAGTGTGTAACTTGCATGTTTATGTACACTTTTTATGAATTAGGTGTAACTTAAGAATTATATAAAATATGCAATTTGTTTTGTGTAACTATATATGAATTAAACACTATTCGAGCTTGCTATATTATGATCAACCTGCACCGTACGATATAGAGTGTGTAACTTGTCAGCTGACAACTTTATGATAGTTAACAGTACATTATGAACTATGGACTGCTGTTATCAACGCCTCAAGCTTTGCTTTATATATTTGAGCATTCCTCAAGTTGTTTTCCAAAAACCTTCATTTGTTACAATCCTGACAAGTTACAAGTTACATTACCCTACCATTGACAGGACAGCACTGACCAATAGATACCACATGTATTACAATCCTGACAAGTTACAAGTTATATTACCCCACCATTGACAGGACAGCACTGACCAATAGATACCACATGTATTACAATCCTGACAAGTTACAAGTTATATTACCCTACCATTGACCGTAGACTGGACAGGACTGACAAATGAATACCACATGTGTAACAATCCTGACAAGTTACAAGCACCAAATCAATATATTAACAATATTGATAGAATTTGCACGATATATGTTGCTCAAAATTTGTCCCTGGCACACATGCAATTTGGTAGTCTACTGAGCTAAAAAATGCTTGTGCAAATCCTTATTCAACTAAAATTTTGCACTTCTGACTGATGATATTCTAAATTGCATGCTTTTCTTATGAGTTACTGGCAGCTATCATAAGCTTTCTTTTATTTCTCATAGCTTATAAACAAAATTTTAGTTCATAAATTAAAAGAATAGTAAGATAAAAAAACCCCACAATAAACGCTGACTGTAAAATCTGTTGCACTGTTATTTTACTCACACATTTAAGATAATATATTCTAAGACTTACATATGCACTCCTATATTTGTTTATTCATTCATTTTTATTTCATTTCACATTTTCCATTCTAATTGAATTCACTTTTTCACAAATGGCTCTGAATTTTGATCACCAAATAATTTTTATGTCTTTAACATTTGTTGTTGTTTTTCATTTAATTTCCAAATGACATGCCTTCTTTTGTAATTATAGAGGAAGAAAAGTTTGAAAAGGAGGAAAATGTGGAAGATGCTCTTAAGTTCTCAGTAGAAGAGAAAAAGGACGGTAAGGAGGCTGCAGCAGAATGGCAGCAAGGTAACCCTGCAAGAGATGAACCTGACGTTATAGACCAAAGCTCTTCTGAAGCTTTAAACTCAAAAGGAGAGAAGAAACTCCCTCAGTTTATTCCTGGAGAGTACATGTCTCTGCCAAGAGAGGAATTACTGAAGGTACTAGAGGAGCGACAAAAGATCCAAAGTGCTCAGCCAAAGGAGGGGGATTCTACAGATGATGGACATGAGAAGGAAGATGAGAGGAAGGTTTTCAGACCTGCTGTGCATGTTCCAGATGGTAATGAGAAGAGCAAAAATGAAGATCTTCCAGCAGGTGTTGGTGAGGAGGGTAAAAGATCAATGGATGAAATGGCAAAGAAAGTCCAGGATGACCTGAAAGCTGTTGTTGAAGAAGATCTTAGTCGTCTGAGGAAACCTAATGATGAGACTAAAGCTGCAGATAAAGAGACGAAAGGGGATTATGATATGGGACTTTCACCAGAAGATGGATTAGGAATTAGAGGTGTCAATGGAGATCCCATAGAAAGTAAGGAAATGAAAGAGGAAAATACAAACAAGATCCCATCTGACAGAGTTGATGAAGCAAGTGAAAGGAAATCCCAAGAGGACCTCTCCAAAGATAAAACATCTCAATTTCCGTCTAAAGGAAAAGAAATTCTTTTCCATAAGAGAAAACTAAGAGAAAAGGCAGAGCAAGAACATTTAGAGAGGTCACATGGTAGAGGGAACAAAGAAAACCCCAATGTAGAGGAGCATAATTCAGGTTTTGATAAGAAACCAGAATCTGCAAGAGAAGACAAGGGTGGCGAAGAAAAACCTGAAAACAAGATGGATAATGCAGAGAAAAATGAGAATAGTGGTGTTGATAATATCAGGAGTGCAGATGTCAATAACAAGAAGGATCCTGTGAACAAACCTGATGATTCAGCTGAAGACGAAACTGAAGATGAGGATGAAGAGGATTTTGAGGAGGTTGAGCCAGTGGAAGTCATTCATCCGGAGAATGAAACTTCAAAGATAGAAGTGGAAAATGATGCTCTAAGAGAGAAAGAGCAGGATAGAAAAGATGCTAACTCCAAGGCAGATGCATCAACTGAAGAAAATGATGCAAAAGAGACACCTGCTAACAAGGAAGAAAAAGGAGAAGCAGATGATAGGGATGGAGAACAAAAAGGTAATGAAGATGGGAAAAAGGAAGCCTTGGTTGGTGAACAAGAGAATGGAAATATAGAGGACCAAACCCAAAAGAATGCCGAAAAAGAAGAAGAAATAAAAAGACAAAAAGAAGAAGAAGAAAGACAGGCTAGGCTTCGGCTCCTGCAAGAAGAGAGGAAAAGAGTTCAAGCTCTGGATGAACAAGCTAAAATCTTGCTTCAAAGAAAAATGGAATATGAAAAGAAGATGGAAGATGAACGACTTAGAAAGGGAAGAGAAAAGTTGAAAAAGGAAGAAGAGAGGAAAAAACGCATAAGACTGGAAGTGGAGAAACGATTGAAAGCAATGGAAGAGGAAAAGAAAAAGAAAGAGGAAGAACAAAAGAGGAAAGAATTGGAAGAAGAAAAGAGGAAAATGGAAGAAGAAAAGCAAAGAATCGAAGACGAAAAGAAAAGAAAAGAGGAAAAGAATAAAGAAATAGAAGAGGAGATGAAGAGAATAGAAGAAGAAGAACAGAGAAAGAAAGTTGAAGATGAAAATAAGGAAAAGGATCAAGAAGAAGCTGATAAGGTAAAAGAGGAAATGGAGATTGAAGCTGCCCTCAAGAACAAGTTAGACACATTAGCCAAAAATGGTGATAAGCCAAAAGAAGGAGAAACCGAAAAAAACAAAGACACACATCTGAGAGTGAAAAACACAAATGTTTCTGAATCAGAAAGGAAGAGTGTTGAGTCTTCAAAAAAAGAAAAATCTGCAAGCAAAGCAAAGCCACAAACTAGACTCCTTCAAAACAAACTCAAGAACATGAAGATGAAATTGAAGACCCCAAAGAAAAAAAATGCTGGTAGAAAGACAAAGGGGATGAAAACCAAAAAGAATAAAAGAAAGTTGTATGATATGAATGGTAAGTATGGAACAACATGTTATCATTCTTTAGTGTTTCAGTGGTTTTTAAATTCTTTTAAAACAAATTTTTTTGTGGCTAATAATGTGTTGTAGTTGTAGGCTTGTGAAGACAATGTAAGTAGATGTTTTGAATGCTGTGCTTTTCTTTATTCCATAATCCATTACTTCCATATTCAGTTTTTATGCCACATGTGATTAGAGTACAGTGCATACCATTCTAAAAGCTGGGTAGTGATCAACTGGGGTTGGCCATTATTGACCATCAATGAACACCTTACTTGCAACCTAATGACAACATATATTCTACACCCTACCACCAAAGTAGCATCTAATGACACTCCTACCAACACTCTTCTTACAACCTATCAATACTCTACTGACAACCTAGCAACACTCTTCCTACTACCTATCAATACTCTACTGACAACTTACCAACACTCTACAGACAACCTATCAACACTCTACTGACAACCTACCAACACTCTACAGACAACCTACCCACACTCTACAGACAACCTACCAACACTCTACTGACAGCCTACCAACACTCTACTGACAACCTACCAACACTCTACAGACAACCTACCAACACTATACTGACAACCTTCAACACCCTACTGAAAACCTACCGATAATCTAACAATATTCTACTTACACTTTAAGGATGCCAATAGCATTATTTTATGCTTACTATATTGATGGTTGATCAGCACTCAGCTGCTAGAATGGCTGACCATACTCTAAAAAGCACATCCCTTGTTTCACCACTAATAACACACATGTGATGCTGAAAACTTTGATTATAATTAAGCCAATAAATAAATTTTTTTTTTTTTGGAAATTTCTTTTCAAAAATTGGCTGATAAAGCATTTATTATTCCTGTTTTAACCAATTTTTTAAATTCAAGTTTAAATTTTTTCAAACTAAATGGATTACTCAAACATTTATCTTTAAATTCAAATTAAATTCATTGTGCATATTAAACTCATTAAAAGTAAACCTTAAAAACATGATAACATTGATAAAAGAAAGAAAATTCTTACTAAAGTAAGAGTTAATGTTGGTTTGCCATTTTGAAATAGTCATTCTGTTTTAATCTCATTGTTCAATCCCATTTTCATTCTTCTTTTCATATTCCTTTCATTAGTCATTACTAATCATTCATACTCAAATTTACATACACGAACATTTATGCGCACGCCTGTGTACCACCTACAGTTAATAATCAATCACTCATTACCGTCTTTCCCATACTAACATACTAAAACTATATCAGTGATAATTAACTAAAAGCATGTTTTCAAGGCTCCAAGTAAATGTTTTTGACAAGCAGGTCATTTGTCAGGCAAAGGCATATTTGACTTGTCAAAACCAAATTGTGGGCAGACAAAATATTATTACTAGAAATTTCAGCAATTAAACAACCTCAATCGACTATTTGTTACATATTTTGTAATGAAATTTGTTCTGTCAAATGTCCAGCCTTTTACTACACCAGTCAAGTGGTCTTTTGTACCAGGCATTTGTCCAATGACTGGCACTTATTTGCAGCTTTTGTTTTAAATTTAAAGCAGCTTGCTTTGTGTTTGTCATGTATACATGCCAAATATTATATATGTAACTAGATGAAAGTGTTGATCATCTATTTTCAATTGATATTCTAAGTTATTTCTAACATCACACAAACAGACATCCATTTGGACCAGGATCGCTGCATGTCAGTTTCATATGAAAAGAGAATGAGCTGTGGTATTGACCTGACCGAAGATGAGTGCCACGATGATGAATGTTGTTTTGATGAAGATGCTCCTCCAGAAATCCAGTGCTTTTATCCACCAACTGAACCAGGTTCTTGTCTAGTCATTTATCTTCAAAATAATTATAATTATAATAATAATTCATGGTATAGTGGGTATTGAAAATTAAGCATGAATACTGATATTCTTATTTTGCCCACTTTTACTTAGTATACACATACTACCACCACAACAACCACTCTATGCAAGCCATACAACTTTTGAAGAACATTATTGATTTCTCATGAATGGGGGGAGGAAAACCTTTATTGCTAACAGCCACACCACTGGAAATTGTTCTGGATTTGCAGCTGGAAAGGCAAATATTTTACTATCACGCCACTCTTGCCCTCCAAGTTAACTTTTCAACTAATCTTATAAAACTAAACTAATAACCTTTGTGTATTGTTTGAAATATCTATAATATGGATTCCTGTGACTGAAGCCAATCTAATATTTCTGCAACTTGTGTTACTTATTCGAGAGTCTTCTTGGACTAATACTTTTAAGACTCTTAGTCTTTCATGGTACTGGTCATTGGTGCTGTGGCATATAGAGGGCTACCCCCATTCCTAAAATTCAGTTTCCCAGGTGATGTGTTATTCTTCCCTAGAAAAGCTGGAATATTTATAAGATTTCTATGTACTTATATTTATATATTGTTCCATTTTGGGACAAAAGGAAAGCATTTTGCAATTATAAATGGTTATTCTCTGAGTTTACATTATGGTTCCTCTGGTACTTGTAGAGTTCCCCACTCCCTCCCTCCCCCCCTCTCTCTTTCTCTCAATCTTTTGGACTTACCCTGACACTGCATTGCTAACATTCTTACAACTAAACAATTCTTCCATTTGTAGCAGCTTTTGTTGTAAAACTTTAATCCATTAATCAAATAATCCATAATATTTAAAGCTAGGTACTATGTACTGTCATACTAAAAGCTAGGTACTATAGGTACTAGGTAAATGGATCAGTATAACAAAAACCTTTATATTATCCTGTTTGCCTCAGGTCAAACCCTGACAGCTGTACTAACAACCTATATAACTATCATTAATGCCTTATTGTTTAACCTCTAAAAAAGCAATCATAATTATTAACATGTCTTAACCCCGTAATATAACTTATACTAACTTCTGAACTTCTGACGTGTTAAAAACAGTGTTTATTGTTGCTAGTAGAATTAGGTCAATAGAGTCTTATTTATTTGCTAGTAATCTCATGCTGATATTGCACTAATTTCCTAATTGCTCCGTCAATAAAGTGCTGTCATGTTTAGAGTGTGGCATGGTATGGCATGTCGCATCATACTCAGAGTTTTTCACAGATTTGCTTAGTACACCAATTTTTATAATTATGTGAGCAACATAACCCAAATCATCTGTTTTTTGGTTTCCATCTAACAAAAAAATGAGTAACTCAGACCACTGGAAATTAAGTGATTGACAATAGCCAATAGTCTGGGTCACATAATTGTGTACAAATGAGTATAATAACTGTGAAAGATATGCTGTTATGATGAAGGTGCCACAACCCAGTATTCTGTTTGGACTTTCACCTGCATCATTTAGCATGCTTCATCTTTACTGTGACTGGTCTTATGGAAAATGGTTGTCATGGTGAGGAACCTAGAACAATTTTCTTAATGCATTTGTTCTTTCAGATGATTCAGATGTTGATGAATATGTTGGCGATGACTTTGATGAATTTGAAGAAATTCCTCAAAAGAAAAGAAGGATTAAAGGAAAAAATGGAGTGAAGAGACATCGTCAAAAGATTCCTGAGGAAAACAGAGAAAATTATCCAACACATCAAAAAGAACCCCAAAAAGCTGCTGAAAATACTGACAAAGCAGAAGCTTTTGTACCTGGTGCAACTAAAAGGGAAGAGTCCAAGACTACAGTAGTGAATCAAGAGGCTGTTGGTATAAATACTGCAACTTCTACAATCACCCCTACCCCTACACAAGCAACAACACAAACAACTCAGATGACAACCCAAGGTATCCAAGATGCTACTGGTAATACAAAACCCTCTCAAGACATTCCTACCCAAACTACGACACAAACAACACAAGTGACAACACAAGCCACACAAGTGAACCAGGACGCTTCAGCCCTTAATACTGGCAGTTCTGTGATAAATCCTAGTCCTCCTTCTGAAGTGACAACACAAAGCACTGCTTCTGATGTAGGAGACAGCAAGGCAGCTGATCCTGGTCATGTACCACAACCATCAGTTTATAATGGAACTCCTGCAGTTCAACAAAGGCAAGGAGTAGATATCAGGGAGGAAGCATTAAGAGTCCCTCCCAATCAAGATAAAGTTATAGATGACAAACTTGAACCTAGAGTGACTTACTCTGATGATAAAACCTTTGATCACCGTATGCCACCCAAAGTGCCACCAACACTTCCAACAGTTCTTCAAACACCTGCAGATGGGAAGGGTGTAACAAGTAATGAAGAAAAGATTGACCCTGTTCCTCAAGAAAAGCCTGAGATTCCAAGAAAGGGCTTGCCTGATGTACTGAATCAGCCAACTACAGCTCCGACATCTGCTGCAGAAGACAGTAAAACTAAAAAAGCTAAGAAGAAGAGTTTTGGTATTTTAAAGGGATTTTGGAGGTTTCATGAGATCTTAGCTGTGAAAATCATTCAGTTTGGACAGCCTTTGAGAGGAGCACTAAGGGGAATACTGGCATGTGTTGCCCTTGGTCAGGTATGAACTTTACTAAGTAAATGAATAAATAATTATGCATTTTTTTCTTCCAAAACGAAAGAGAAGGGATAAGAAGCAAATATAAGGAAAGGGAAGACAAGGGAAGTAAATGAAAAAGGATAAAGAAATGACAGGAAAGAAAGGAAGAAAAGAAAATGAAAAGGAGAAGAAAGTGAAGGGAAGATAAGAGAAGGGCTGGAATTGTCCTGAAAGGGAAGGAAAGAGAAGGAAATGAAAAAAAATGTACGGAAGGAAGGAAACAAAAGAAAAGAAAGGGTAAGGCAAGTCTTATGCCTGGTATTCACATTTTAAACGCAATACAATGTTTTTTATTTAGGTGTTTGATGATATTTGCCAAGATCTAGCAAGTGCACCACCATTTGTTATAATCAGTACAGTGCTGTTTGGTACTTTTGGTGTGATCTTTCTATTTTGGTCATGTATAGTAAGTACTGTCCTTTATCCTTTTTACTTAGAGCTCCTAGATGTGCAACAACCTGAGTCTGAGTATGATTAGTGACATTAGGTTCACATGTGCAGTGCTTCCTAGAGACCACAGGAGGTTATGTGCATACCCTTTGAACTGGCCTTTTGTTTTTGATATAGAGAAAATGTCTTAATATTTGGTGTTTCATTCTTACAGTCTAGTTTCAGCTCTAGCAATGCAGCCAAAGGACCAAGTCCAAGAGGTAGAGTGTTATGTGTTGGTTTTAGTCTTGTTGTGGTGGTCGTTGTTGTTGCTACTGTTGTTGTAGTTGTTGTTGCTGGTAGGTGATGATGGTAGTGTTGTCATGTCATTGTCATTAATGGTATTTTTATTGCTTTTTTTGTTCATGTTAATTTGTCATTGTGGTATTAAAAAGATTTTCCACAAAACACTGTATGTTCTACCACTTTTTCAAGCAGATGTTTTCAAAACTTATGAAGCAAGGATCCGCATCCTTGAGGAAGAACTTGAGGGACTAGAAAGATCTCACAAACAACTGCAATTGAAATCTGAACTTGCTGTTGAAGAGGTATGCTTATCCATCTATCACATACACATCTGCATGTAATGGACTATGAAATTTAATACTACGCAAACCCTTGGGTTTTTCTTAAGTTTTTTTCAATGCTTTCCCTTTCTCCTCAAATGCCAACACACTAAATTCCAATTCTATCTGTGAGTTGGCATGCCTTGCTTAGATCAGCCCAGAGGCTGTTTCACGGTTCGATCTGTAAGTTAGCCATGTTCTGACTTAGATCAGCCCAGAGGTTGTTTCAAGGTTCGATCAGTGAGTTAGCCATGTCCTGACTTAGATCAGCCCAGAGGTTGTTTCAGGGTTCGATCAGTGAGTTAGCCATGTCCTGACTTAGATC